TGCGAGTGTATTTGAAGACTGCAGCTATGTGGCGTGTACTCGTACAGTACGTGTATAATAACCGGCTAACTAGTAGTGTATGTGTAATGGCATGTTGCATGCACAACTTCTGTGTGATGCAATGCCGAAGGCTGCAACTCGGGTCTTACTCGTACTGTACGTTCATAATGATAGTGATAAGCTCGTAGTGTATGTGTGTTATGTGTGTGTTTGAATGCAGCATGTAGCACACATGCACAACTTCTGTGCGATGCAATGGTATGTTGTACACTCTTTGGACCCGACAGATCTATCATATCACCCTGCGAGTGTATTTGAAGGCTGCAGCTCTGTGTGTATTTGTACAGTACGTGTCGTGTATAACAATAGGCTAGCTAGTAGTGTATGTGTATGTGTGTGTTTGAATGGCATGTAGCATGCATACCTTCTGTGTGATGCATTGGCAGTGTACATTCTTTAGTAACCTGACAGGTTTATCACCTCACCCTGCTCGTGTATTCAACGGCTGCAGCTATATGTCTACTCGTACAGTACGTGTATAATGAAAGGCTAGTAGTAGGCTAAATGTGTGTGTTCGCACTGCCATTATCATCCACAACTTCTGTCATCAGTGTTCCAAGTATTTATTTATGTGGGGTTGTGAAAATTATGATTGGGTCAAACTCTCGACCGACCCAAAATTGCGCGTAGAATCCATTCCGCTGTCAAATTGGGCATATTTTTATTAGTTTATCGACTATATCTTGGTCGAAGGCTGGGTATGCACAATGAGGCGGATTCCGCTCCATTTTAAAAATCACATTTGAGCCAGAAATTTGAAATGGAGCGGAATCCGTTCCATTCTGAGGACTGGTGATTCACTAAGTGGTGATATCTCCCAGCAAAGGGATATATAGTGAGATACATACCGCGCAGTCGGGCGCTGAGCCGCTGAGTCTGACCCATAAGGGCCATAACATTCTATGTAGAAGGCTATAGGGTATAGGGCTATAGGCCTCTATAGGGCTATAGGCCAGTATAGGGCTATAGAGTATAGGCTGACTCACACTTGACAGTCTCGGAGTCGCTGACCGCAATAAAAAATAAAAAAAAAGCTGTCGCACCAACTTTCTACACTCTTTAAAAAAAAGAGTTATAAATAATATATTGTCAAACTATCAGCCTCGTGCCCTCATCGGAGTCATGGTCTCATCCAGTCATTCTACACCAGATCGCTCCGATTCCGATCCACGGCGTTTTCCCTCGAAATGGATTCTCGCGGTACCGAATTTACTCTTAATTGCCACCGAGTCCAAGGCTGGTTCTGAGTGGTCGAAGGCCTGCTTCTAGAAATGTATAAGTGCGCACTCCTGACTCCGGTATTCTCTCTCTCTCTATGTAAGTCTGAGAAATAGAGAGGTTGTAGCCAATTACTAATTAGGTAATTTAGTTTGTAGTATGTACTCCGTAAGCGAGAGTCAGACTCATCAGTCAACAAGTGATTGTACGCAGTGTGGGCTGTGATGTACTGGTGAAAGGTGTGTGGACGCGTGATGAGTGGGGAGTATGTGATTTTACAGCACGAGAAACAATAAAAACATCATCATCTACAGACTACAAGACGATAGGACGGACTGTTCGGTGAACTGTGTAAGTGTATAACGCCTACGAATCCACGCTACCTCCCCCCTCCCCCTTACACACACTCCAGTGACTCCACCACCAATCCGCCATTGCTTCGAATGGTACGATTGGTATCAACAGGTATCTGTAGATTGCCAGTATTTGCGCAAATGTGATATTGGCGAGAAAGGTTGTGAGGAACCAAAAATAATGGCTATTGGTGTGCGATCATTGATGACTAATGATGTGATCTGATTAGAAACTTTACTGATTTTGACGAATGTTTTGAGTTCTATTTGCATGTGTCGAAGATTGGAAGCGGTCTGCAACAACTATATAATGCTATTTCCTAGATTCACAGAAACTCATAATTTGATCAACAGCAGCACATACTAAAATGACTATAACTAGTGTAACTCAACGAGCTTCCAAGGCAGTAAGCCCAATTGCTTCACGGTCAACAGTCGCAGCAGTGGGCCGGGTAGGAGTCGCGAATGTGTCAACTAAATCACAACCGTTAACACGTGCCCAAGTTAACGATGAGTCTCGCATTGCATCTGAAACCTCGCTAATGCAGTGCAGCTATAATACTGTCGCCGGTTGCTGATGACGATATAGAAGTAGTCTTGAAACGATTCGAGCTTGAGACCCGGTGTACTGAATATAAACGTCCAAGAAGACGAGTCTGCAAGGTGTCCGCGATACCTGAGTAAATAATTTCAATGCTTTCGGTTTGTTGAAGGAGAAGATAAGGCTCTATTAAATCGCATCAGAGCTATGTTCTCGAACCCATATTCGATAAATCCTAGTGCCTTGCCTGGTGGCGCTTTGGATTCTCGGTGTGTCGATCCGTTTCATTCAGGGTGCACACAGCTTCTGGTAATAAGCACGTGCGTATTGACGCTCGACTATGGGTGTGAGAACCCCTAAATCTTAATTGTACCTAAAAATTTATCGTTTGCTTATCTGGTGGTATCTAGTTTTGAAGTAATAAATACAAGCGCTGTAGTATTCGGGTTGTTTGTAAATTGGGTTTCTGGACAATATGCATGATCGAATAAGTGTTTCCGACATCGATACAATTTGTTGTAGCAACATACAAATAGAGTACATATACATAGAATCAGCAAACACTCAATTCAAATGAAGTAATATACATGCAACATGACTGAAACTGGTATATGTTTGCATAGAATATGCATGATCGAATGAGTGTTTCCGACATCGATACCATTTCTTGTAGCATTATACAAACAGAGTATGTATACATAGAATAAGCAAACACTCAAATCAAATGGAGTCATATGCATACAACATGACTGAAACTGATATATGCTTGCATAGTTTCGTGACGACCTATCGCATCGATAGACTGTACACTTGCATATGAATATTTAGTGATGCATGTACACAATGATGTAACTATTGATTTCACATATCCTATATATAAAAAACACAGTATTATGCTCTTGATATCCTATCATTTGAAGACGTCATGTAAGTTCGCTCATGAATACATGTATATCATAGTTTGCGGTTGTAATCGAATGCAAGAAATAATTTGAACTTGCATGTAGCATTGGCAAGTAGCTTACGGTTGAGTTACAGTACAAAAAGCATAAAAAACCATCTTTCGTATACCAAATATTAGTAAATGTACGTATGTATTATGTTTTTATCTAAAACAGCGTATTCTACAGAACTGTATGTGCTTTTGTGCTTGCACGTCTACATTTCTGCGTCTCAGTGTTAATGTTTCCTTTCCGTTTGTTTTAAACTGTACCTTTAGTGTCAATATACATATATGTTGGAGCGTATCGTTGCGTACAGAGCAAGTGTGGTACATATTGTATTCTTGCTTGCTAGTCCGGTTTGTGCACTCAAGTGCAGGTATATACTGAATATACATACCTGTCTGGACGATATTGTGCGAAGAACGCAGCGATAGTTGCCATGGATTAGGAGTCACTCATGTGTCAAGATCTGATTTTCTTAGCGCTATTTCTTACTGAGCACCGTTGTGCATGGATCATCCTTATGCCTATCTACATAATTTGCATGGTACCTGAGTTCGTTTAGAAAGTCATCGACAATTTGTCGATATTTGGTAGTTTCATTGGTAACATTGCGAGTACATAAATCGCAACTTGCTACCATATACTTTGCACAATATACAATCGGGATCCTACTACTTCAATACTCACCTACATGTATATGCCCTCCTTGATTTAACATGTATATGCCTTCCCTTTTAAGCAAAGAAATAGATAAATTTAAAGATCGGCAGACATATTTTAGTACTGAACAGAAAATCGTGAAGCACACAGACAATCGTGCATGTGAATTTCGAAGCAATTGATTGTGTGAACGACTTCACTATGAATGGTGTTTTCTAAAACAGCTATTTCGAAGAGCTGTATTTGCTTTTATGCTTGCAAGTCTGCATTTCCGTGTGGAAGTTTCCTTTCCAGTTGTTTTTAGTGTCAATGCATATATATATATATATTATATATATATATATATATATTATATATATATATATATATATATATATATACATCTATATAGATATACATATATATATATATATATATATATATATATACATATACATATACATATATACATACACACACACACACACACACACACACATATATATATATACATATATATATCTATATATATGTAAGAGCACATCGTTGCATACGGAACAAGTTTGGTACATAATGTATTCCCGCTTGCTAGTCTTGCAACATGTATACAAGTATATACATATACATACAAACATTCAAACAATATTAATTTGGACGATATAGTGAGAAGAACGCAGAGATACATGCCGTGGACGAGGAGTCACTCATGCGTCAAGATCTGCTTTTCTTAGCGTGATTTCTAACTGAGCACCGTCGTGAATGAATCAGCGTTTAGCACATCTACATAATTTACATGGGACCTGAGTTCGTTTAGAAAGATATCGACAATTTGTCGATATTTTGCAGTTTCACTGGTAACATTGTGAATACAGATATCACAACTTTCTACTATAATCTGTGCACAATTTACAATCGGCATCCTACTACTTGGATAATTGACTACGTGTACATCGCCCTCCCCTATTTAGCAATGAAATAGATAAATTTGAAGATCGGCAGACGTATTTTAGTACTTAACAGAAAATCGTAAAGCACACAGGCAATCGGGCATGTGAATTTTGAAGCAACTATGTGAACGACTTCACTATTTCAAAAAGTACACACAACAAACGTATAAAACCGAGCAAGAGGGACTGAACAGCGTGTACCAATACTACTATTTTCCAACATGGAGGAACAGCGCATATATGATAAAATTAATAAAAACGTCAAGATATAACCATATACACACACCGATGAATTGCATTTCAGACTTCATTAGCGCTAGCCTTCAGATACGCCCAGTCACCGATACAAGGTATAATTCCTCGACCAATACAAGACAACGACACAGTGTCGACTTGTATCACCCTTTGTCTTCTCGACGAGGTCATGTCTACGGCACCCGATGGTAAAGCTCTAACGGTCAATTGAACTCATATGCAGCAGTGTTATGTCCAGTGAGTGTTATGTCCCGTGTAAAACCCACCTCATCCACATTAGATGGTGATTGATGACGCTTGATAATAGTTTTACCAAAATGACCACCACTGCGCAAGCCAATATATTGCGATGTATTCTTTTGGAGACAGTACTCAAACGCGAACGTTGTCTGATTATCCACCGTCGATAACATTGTGCACTCGACACACGAGTGCTTATCTAAGCGTCCTGTAGGATTCGTAAGAAGACACAATGGCTATGATTCGAACTGGTGTTTCTACGATCGAAAGTCGATTGCACGATTCGGTCTGTACACTTTAGAGAGGCATGACAAAGCGAGTGCCGTCAGTACTTCATCCCAAAAGACGCTAAATGGAATGTGTGTGTCTTAGTGATGACATACGAGTCGCTGCATCCAAGGAAGACCTTTCTCAGCTTCTGTGTATACATCTCACTGAATCAGTTTTTATGTATTACATATAAAGTTTCAGATAAGAGAGACTCCAACTTTATATGCGCTAGTCAAGTTCAGATGTCCCCGAACGTTCAAAGATAAACTCAGTCACAGGCTGTATAGTAAGTATCCGAGGGCAGGCAGCATTGATAAGAAATAACCTATTGTGCCCCTCGGCGTATTGCCTCCCAGCGTTTGTAGTTGTCGCGATCGGCCACATGACAAGCCCTGATATAATCCACCGTCTCCCTGGCAATCATAAATTCTGGTTCCATGTATTGAAAAAATTCGTTGACAGTCATCTTCTCCCAGTGAAGCAATCTACTCAGACACTTCTCGTGTTCTCTGGACTTAGTCTGTTGCCGCATTAAGTAGAGCGTTTTATACATCGTTACCTTGTCCTCGATGCCTGTGTACTTTCTAGCACGTGCCTGTCCATACAATTCCTTCACACGGCGTTCCAGCATCGGCGGCTTGTTAGCCTTCCCCTTAAATGACTCAGAGATACAGATAGCCTGGGCAAGATCCATCATTAGTGGATCAATCCAAGAAGGATCACCTCCGACACGGCTTACTTCCTGGTGCTCCTTTGCGAGTATACTATAACCGGTGTTTTTACCTCCAGTCGTCGTAGTCTTTGTAGTCACTGCTAATGAGACCGAGCGATTCAATAAGGCAAGAGCTTTGGTTGTATCTCCCAGTTGTTCTATAGATTCGGGTGTGAGGTGGATACGGTTCCACACACTATCACCGGAAGGGTTTGCTCCCGATTTGGTCGAAGCTTTTGCAATCTTACCAGCGGTCCGTTTGTTGCGATTGTTTAGTATCACTTTTGTTCGCGTTGTGATAACGTTCTTATTATTCTTGTTTGCATTTGTAAAATGTTTGCCATCACGCTTACCACCACGCTGCGTATTCGCGTGTCTGACCATACTTACAGATATCAAAGATGATCGAAATGAAATACACTAAGCAATATGTACACTTGTACACACTGTAGTGTTCGTGATATCAGATGCCACACACACGTAAAATATTTTGCTGCTATATGTTTCTGTAATCTGTACTCGACGTTCGACGACATCAGACAGATTCTCCGTACAATAAATATGAGCACCAATTATAGCCCATATAAAGAGTATCTGTAGATCTTAATTGGCTTGTATGCTTCGTATACTATAAGATTCAATGATTCGCCTTTTTAATTATTATACTGATATATACACCATTCGGAGACAGATTCTTCGTACAATAAACATGAGAACTAATTGTAGCTAATATTAATCGTATCTGTAATTCTTAGTTTATGCTTTTTAAGGTTTAAGGTTTCGATACTTTGTATATTTAAAGATAAATACACCTTGCGGATCCGATTTCGGATGCGTTTTTTAAAAACCGTTTAACGTTAAACTATGAGAGGAGGCTCAAGCATTTTGTTTTCTCTCTCTATGCTCCGAAGTCCGGGTTCTCCGAGACTCCGACTAAATAAACTTCGATGAAATACATACATATTTTACAATTTTACACGGCCCTCTGCCCTCTGGTCTCGGGATATGGGTCTCGGCTAAATTTACGATTTGTCGTCTTGTGTGACTGTGAAGTGTCAAGTGTGAACTGTGAAGTATTTAACCTGATTTCTGCTCGCGACCCTACTCTTAAAAATCTTACATGTACTATACATATTGTGAATGCTTTGTCCGGTGTGGGGAGAGTTCACTGGTCAGTGGTAACGTACAAGGTATGTAGCTGAAAACGTACTACGTTTTACGATAACGCACACAATTATAAAAGTTTTTACGCATACCGTATTCATTTTGGTGTTTCCAAAATGACAACTTCAAAAAACAGAAACAGGAACTGTTCTAAATAGATCAACAAATGACAAATATACATTGGTCCGGATCCAAAACTGCAAAATTCAATCTATATATCAGGTATTCGCCCATATTTTGGTGAATATAGTTGGGTGGCATTTGCCTATATATTGGCAGTCATAATCGCCAAGGTCATGTTACGTACGAAAACGTATCCCGTTTACCGCTATCGCAACGTTTTAAAAACGTATTTACCCTACGTAATGAGCCCTGAGATTTATTGACAGACAGAGACAGGTCAGTATTTCTGTCTGTCCTATCAAGTGTTGAATATATTGTCTGATTTTCATTAGTGATTATTCGATTGAAAATGGAAATATAGAAGCAAGGTATGGATATTTCGGAAGCGCCTTTAGAATTCTGCACAATGGACAGGCGTCGATGACTCACTCGATTGACGAATTAAAAAGTTCAGATTTGGCCTGATAGATTTGTATCTCTACCAATAAAAACGTTTTAATATCAGAGCGACTATTTCTATGTTAAAATAGCCGGACGGTCTCAACTCTCAACTTGCCGTTTATTCCTTTTTGTTTTTTTGTTTCGAGCTATAAATACAGGCACCCTTGCAATTTGCAAATTGCACACTCCACAAACGGCTATTTCGCAGCTACAATAGTTAATCATGTTCGCTTCTTCCAAGACAGTATCAGGTATTGCACGAGCCAGCTTCATCGGTGCACGCATAGCCTTGCCAGTCTCCGCACGCATGGTAAACCACTCACTTCTTAGAAGCAAAACTTCGTACTCGAAGGAACTCACCGGCCCCATGGCCAAACCTATGAAAGGTACCGCGCGTGCTACAGCCGAGAGTTTTGATGATTACTACACTGAGGTCAAGACTGGTTCCGGCTACAACGTGGTAGTTGATCATTTGCCAGAGTCTAAAGGTGGAAAGGGTCCATCTCCATTAGAGTATGCTCTCACCTCGCTTGCCGGGTGCAAGACATCGGCGTTCAAAACACTAGCAAAGGAGGCCGGATTCAAGATAGACAACATTCAGTACAAGATGAGTGCGAACTTTGATCCACGTGGTTACAATGGTGGCATGACGTATGCTGGTTTCACACATATAAAATTGGATGCGAAGATCAAAACGTCACTTACAGGAGAGGAACTGAAGGAAGCGGCGGAGGAGGTCGCGCACAGGTGCATCATTGCCGCAACATTCGAGAAGGCTGGTGTAGAGATGGATGTCACTTGGACCAAAGTGGAGTAGGCGAGTTTAAGTAATAAAGTATGTCAGGTATCTGAGATTTGACTGTTTCTAGTATCGGGTGTGTATTTGAAATCGACGGAAGAAGGCTGTTGGACGCGTCCTTTCTACGACTTTGTGATGTTCTTGTAGAATAGCGGGTATTATATTGGTAGTCCTTTCCACGACTTCGTGATGTTCCTGTAGAATAGCGGGTACTATACTGGTATCAGGTGCTAAACAGTAGATAATACGGGATAAGCTAAGACATAACAGCCTAGACAAACAGCTTAGATGGCACCATTTGCTATGTCTGCGACACACGTCCAGTAGATTTTATTATATCATTCAAGTCGTGTGCTTAGTTAGTAGACCATGGATGTTACCACTTAATAGGATGCGAGCACATTTTAGGCCACGCTCTCCAGTAGAGAATCTCAACTAGACTTGTGCGAACTTTCGTACTGTTCAAGTTCCGTTTCCATGAAGTCGCGCACCTAGAAGTGAGAAGAATGTGGCGAAATGGAAAGAAGGGCTGTGTAAGAGAAAAGGTCAAAATGAAACGAATATTTCACTCATAAACTCTGTGCTGTGGTGCGTCGTGGCTCCGTAAAAGAATCAAACAAACCGAATATCGGAACCATAAAATCGCTCCACACAAAGTACTGAACCTTTTTCATGAGCCCCTGAATGTCTTCGTTACATTCGGTCATCGTATCAGTAGGTATCGCGTCACCGTACTTTATCACCATATTTCCCGGAGAGATCCAAGTTTGACCTGCGTACGTAGAATGCGCAATACGTAAGACGGACGTCCGCACGCATTGCAAGCGATGCTAAGAAATTACCCTACCAGCTTCCTAGCAATTTCTGGAAACAAATTTCGACCTACAATACGCAAAGTTTAGTCAAGCTTTCAAAATCTCCGAGCTGAATATATACATACCAAGCGGGTGAATTTTCCTGGCACCTAGAAGAACGCACGGATACACGACCTTTTTGTTGCGGATAGCCAACCTGAAGATCAAGGGCTTGAACTCTCCCACTTTCCCTGTCTTTGTGCGTAATCCTTCCGGGAATAGACCCTGTGGACAAGATGGAGAAGCGGATATTACACAGCCATTTCATATGTAGGTTCAGACTGGAGGGCACCCGGGAGTGCTATTCAGCAAACAAACACAATCGAAACATGCCAGGGATGAAAACGCAGATTTGTCTGCGCAGAAGAAAAACCTCTTAACCGCTCACAGTGTATACACTCCAACACGTGCATAATATCATGTGATTAGGCAAGATATATATTCTAGGCACTAGGTGTCCACGAATATGTCCACTGACGAAATACATGGTCCGCCATTTCCGAAATAACCTATGCAATGAGTTGCGCACCATTGTGAAGTTGGGTTTTTCCAGCCAAGCCGAGGATTCTTGTGCTGACAATCGGGCAGATTCCTTGTTGGTCTCGGTACTTTGTTGATCCTACAACGCAACAAAATGTACAAAATTGATAGTAAGCGCTCTGAAAAACTCTAACTAGATAAATGGTAGCAGTCTAGGTGCAGTGGACTCGGTAGCACGAAGACAAAGTGATACATGTGTACAGACACCGATTTGCATCGAGAACAGCCACTTCATAAAACCAAATATGTGACAAGAGAGGAAGAAATTACACTCACAAATAAAACAACGTATTAGCACGGCTGCCGGTGATATAGAAATCCAAAATCCGATCAATCTTTTAATGACCAACTATATACCCTTCTATTCCAAACAGGTTTAGCGCGTTCAGCTAAAATTTAATAAACTACAAATTACTGAACAAAGCCAGTCGCCCGAAAGAGACTGGGATAACATTCTACTCGCGCAACAAATCTGACAATGAAGAACGCTAATATAGTAGGTATAAACGCGGGATGCCCTGCATTTATCAATACATCGGATCGATATCAGCACATATACTACTCACCCACAACTCATTAACTCAAAAGAATCGCGAAAGGAAGAATAAGATCTAAATCCATCTCCATACATTCACCAGCACACAAGACATACATTGGGTTTCGCGAATTTTATGGGAATACCCCCCATCTTGCGGACCCACGCGCCAAACAAAGGAATTTCCACCACAAATTGCGCTACAATGACAGTCATGTTTTCGTTATTCAGCTCGTCGACCCAGAAACAGTCCCACCTGATACCGAGATGCGTGAAAGACAGATAATATTGTGTGACATATATGTTTGGCACTTGCAGATTTCCAAATCCCGACAGTGAAGCTTTAGCTATTATACCGGGGTGTGCGGTGCCAACTACACACGTCTTGCAAGTTGTAAGAATCGTCGGCAAATTCGCATTAAAGTGCGGTATGAAAATCGAGCAATATGTTTCAAATTTTGAGCGCTAGCATAACTTACGCTGTGACGTGGTTGACGAAGAAAACGAAGTCCTTGGGGTTCTTTGGGACGTTGTGGAACTCGATATTGAGAATCGGCTTTTGTATAAACCTCAAAATCTGTAAATGGGGACAAAGACATGGAGCTGAATTCTCGAGAAAGGAAGAACGATCCTCACAGGTATTTACAAAATGTGAATAACTGATATTTACATATTTTACCGATGTGGCAAAATAGATGCATGTGAATAATCTCTAAATTTGAGCGTGCAACTCCCGACGACAATCTTGAACTACGGCACACGGGCAATGACATGTGAACGATAAAAATTCTATATTTTAAATGCGTAGTGTGCATTCATGTGGTACTTTGGACAGACCTGCGAGGCATCAAGTCGTTATAAATAGTAAGCCCGCAGTGCAAAAGGAGAAAGAGATATCGAAAGAACATTGAAATTACGCCAGCAGTTTAGATTTTACGTCTCTGTCTCACACAGATTGTAAACGTCCGGAATCGAGACAATAAAATACCTGCATATTATCTAATCAAATATGTGACTTAAACAGACGGGAGGAACACCTGCGGTGCACTCTGGCCAATCAGATACCATTGTCAGCTAGACACCCAACTACAAGCTCCAAAATGGATTCAACGGAAACGCCTCACTGTGGTGTACTTTTGGGATTTATAACAAAAGCATTTCACATTCTACATCACCATTGGGCAATACTGTAACGTGTGTCAAAAACTTCTGTGTAACTACAGCAGAGTTCAAAAGTATCACGAGTACACACAAGAGGTCACTTTTACGAATATGGCCGATTCCCATGCTAGGTACATACAGTGTGGCAGATGTAAAGTCCCCTTCGGAGCATCTCGCGGTTGTCAATAAAGAAGAACCATGGTATGAGAAAGAAGCCCACGAATAGGTGACATCCCACAAGTGTCAGGTAGAAGTAAACGGTTGTGAGGATCTGTTGAGGACGACAGCACAATTTATTTTATATCGTTAGTTGGGAAGCAATTCAATCGAAATCGATAAATATAAGCACAAAATGGTTGCGGCCGTGAAGATTTGCTGAGAATGCATAGTGAGTTTTGATTGGTAGCCCAGAAGCATTTCCATCGATATGGATCTTACAAGCAAATAATGGCAATCTATGCGAACATATACAAATTATTAGTGCTTCCCGAGATCATCCTGAGTTGACACATTTCCTCATCCCTATAGTGGAATAACCCGCTCCAACATAACACTACTACCCAATTTGCAATCTATAATTCCAAAAGTAAAAGTAATTGCATCGCGTAATACATTAGTATAACATACATGCACACAATTATGCTTATGGAATTGTACATACGTAAGACATTGTTCATTTGTATATAAACCTATAACAATATGAGAATATATTGATTTGTTCACATTTATATAACGAAATCGCAATAAGGGAATACTGTACGAACATATATATAAAATAATATAATATAAAAATATAATAACATAATAATATATATAACATACATTTATATATAAATATGTATGTATAGGCAGGGATAGATAACGATAAATAAATATAGCTATAGATACTATATATATGCATATACATATGTGCGTAAATATATATATATATATACATATGTGCGTAAAAATATACACACACATATATACATACATACAGTCATACATACACACACACATATATATATGAATACATATAAATATAAACCTATACATATATATATGTATA